AGGGCTCGGGCCAGACTCCAGGTGGAGCTGGGGGGACCCAACTTCGGACATGACTGGAAGCAGGTTGGGCCCCTCCCAAACCCCTAGAAGCTGCCCTACTCCCTTTTCCCTTGTTTTAAAAGAATCACACAAGTAACGCATCTTCACATCCTAGGAGTTAAGTGCTTCAAAAGTGGAATGAGAAACTGTAAAAACCCCTCTTTTCCCCTCCCCACTCTACGGCCCCTCCCCAGAGGTAACACAGTGAACAGTTTGGGTGTTGGGGGTGCCCGGATGAGCGGATAAAACGTGGGGGCTGTGAACCAGGCTGCCTGGTTCAGATTGCCCTCCTGCTACTTAGCTGTGTAACTTAGGGCCAGTGACTTCACCTCTCTGTGCCTCAGTTTCTCCCTGAAAATGGAGGGCAATAATAGTAGTCACTGCCTGGGGTTGTTGTGAAGAACAGATGAGTTAATAGTTGAAAAGCACCTAGCCCAGCCCTGACCCATGGCAAGGATTCAAAGAGCATCTTGATTCTTGTAGTCTTTTCTACACATTTACTCATTTCCTGCCTAAGTGGGCTCCGGCTGTACATTTTATTCTGCAGTTTGATTTGTCCACTCAGTGCTGTATCTCTGAGATCTTCTTTCCTATATCTGAGACCTTTCTGTTCTGGGACCCTCTTTCTCCTTGCGTCTCCTCATGGAGTCCACTGATTTCTCCCCATCTTTCCCCTCCCTCTGTCCGCATCTTCCCTTGGAAAAAGTTCTGACCAGCCTGTTCATACTAAGGCGTAAATGACTGATGAGGGAGGCTGGTGTGAAACCACCTCAGGCCCCTGACCAGAGGAGGGCACAGCTTCGGAGGGGAGCCAGGAGCCACCCGTTATCAACGCCTAAGGGCTGTTCTGTTAGGTGCGTTCTGCACACTCGCTGTGTCTCCTTGAATCCTCACAACGACCCCAAGAGGCAGGTGCCATTATTGGCTCCATTTTACTGGGGAGGAAACCAAGGCACAGAGAGGTTAAGTGGCTTTCCCAAAGTCACCCAGCCAATATGGGCAGAGCAGGCACTTCGGCTGCCTCTGTTGGACTGTGAAGTCCATTTTGGTCACAACTAAACTAGAACCCCAACACGGCTTAGGGAAGGTAGAGGCAGGTGGGAGGTTCCAGGGGAACCTCAGCAGAGGCGGCCCGTGGATTCTGAGGTTGCAGATGGGGGCAGCTCTCATTGCCTCGGTTGCAACTTAAGCCCCTGCTATGTTTTCCTTGCTACTGGGCAGGGGCAGGAATTCTCTGGAGCATCAGACCCCCTGGTCCCCTCAGGAGGAGGGGACAGAGGCGAAGGTTCTTCAGAGAAACACCCTAGCCCCAGGGTCTGCATCGTAGTGGGCACTTGAGTTCCTGGTGTTACCGAGTACATGCACGGTGGACCCTTTCCAGGCCTGGTGGGTCTGACATCAGACAGTGGGGAGTGTCTGGGGCAATTTATATCTCCCGTGTTCCTCCTCTCAGCCCTTCCTGACCAGACTGGGCACTGGGGGAGGCTGCAAGTGGCCCTTAGGCTTTGAGTGAGCAGGTGTGCTTGGGGGTTGGGGGGGTGTTAGCACCCCCAGGGTCTCTCTTGGACCACCCCATCCGCCCTCAGATCACCTCATCCCTCAACTCCCGCCCTTAACCCCACACCCATCCCACCTGGCCACGCTTAGAGCAACCCAGACTGGGAGCCAGGGCAGGGGGGCTGGGACTCTGCGGGTAGCAGCAGCTCTGCAAGGTGGGTGAAAACTTTGACAACAGGATTGGGGGTGGGAGAGTCACCTTCTGTCAGAGGACCGGGGACAGGCTAAGGCTTCTGACACTCTTTGATACACAGACAGCTGAGGTTCATAATTCAATATCCTCCCCCAGGAGGCTCTCACAGACCCCGGGCTGGGTGGTGGGGCAGGGATTCCTGCGTCCATTTTACAAATGAGCAAACTGAGGCTGGCGCAGGCAGTGAGAGGCTGAGCAGGCTGAGCCCATGTTCTCGCCCAGCCCAGGATGGGCGCCCAGCCCTTTGTGAGGGAAACAAGGGGCTCGTTCTCCCTCAGTCCTCCCCGTGCCGGCTGGCACTGCCAGGCTCGGTGTCTGCACCCTCACCCCACCCCTGCCCCCATGGGCCAACTGAAGTTAGATTGTTTCTGAGGGGGAGGGGCTCGCTGCAATTGTGAGCGGGCAGGGGGTGCAGCTGCGATGGGAGTGAGCTGGGCTGGGGTCAGAGCCTGTGAGGTCTGCAGGGCTGCAGTGCGGGCAAAGACAGGCTACCCCTCTGTAGGAGCACAGGACAGAGGTGGAGGCTGCAGATGTGTCCCTGCTACAGGACAGGGGAGGGGGGGAAAGGGTGCGTCTGCTCCTTTCTCCTTGGGAACTGTCCATAGGGAGCTGGGCAGAGAGACCCCTGGGGCTGAGGCAGCCTAGTCACAAATTCCTGGCCTACGGGGACAGAGAAGGGAGGAAGGGAGGTAAGGTTAGGGCCACTGAGTACTCAGCCCTCCAGCTGGGTAGCGCTGCTCCACCTTTGTAGGGCAGGATGCAGGGTGCTTAGAAGCAGCCCTGGCTTGGGGGTCAGGTGGCTTGGGCGGCCCTGAATCAACCAGATGTGCAACCTGGGACAATCGCCTTCCCAGCTCTATATGGAGACATGATGGTCTGAAGACCCTTCACCCTCACCCACCATGAGCTGGGGAGCCAGAATGTGGGATTGGGTCCCAGCACTGTCCCCACTGCCCGAGACCTGACCTCCCTGTGCTTCTGTTTCTCCTTATCTGTAGAAGGAGAATAATAACCAAAGCTACCAGATGGGGCTGTTTGAGGTTAAAGTGCTTGGAACAGTGCCCAGCACACAGTAAATGCTCAGATAGATGCAAATTATTATTATTTCCATGATCCGGTGATTTTCACTGAATATATGCCAGTACCTTCCACTAATGCTGACTTAGTCTGATGTCTGGCATTAGGCAGAACATGTCAGCCTGTGCTGCTTTCCTTTGCCACCCCCAGAGGTCTGGTCTCATTCTTCGGACTTTGGGGCACAGCTCTGGCCTCTGGTCTACGCTGTGGCTGACCCTCCAATCTTGTGCTGATCCATCACTCACCCACTCAGCCTACCAAGTGATGCACACTCTTGAAGACACATTATTTTCATTTAACGCTCTCACCAACCTTCTGAAACTCTTTACAGGTCAGGTAACTGAGGCTCAGAGAAGTCAAGTGACTTGCCTAAAGTCACACAGCAAAGAAGTTGCAGAACTGAGATTCAAGCCCTGTTTGTAGCACTTGCTCAACTACAAAGTTGTACTGCCTCTTGCAATATCACTGAGAGGGGACCCTCCAGCCCCTGTCAAGACCTTATGGCATCTGGGCACCCCCAGGGCCCCTGCACCTCTCAGAGAGTCTCAGCCCATCCCAGCTGGGAAGGACCTTAGATATCACCCAGTCCAACGTCTTCATCTTGTGGATGGGGAGATGGAGGCTCAGAGATGGGGAGGGATGAGCCCAGGGTCACTCAGTGAGCTAGGGACAGAGTGCGACCAGCTGCAAGACTCATTCTGTCCTGTCCTGCCCCCTTCCCAAATAGGCCTTAGTCCCCTGTCCTCCTGAGACCCTTCAAAGATCAGGGCTGCTGTGCTGGGTGGTGGAAAGCTCTCCCTGGGCCCTGGGAGGACCAGGTGCCCTGCAGTGGCCCTCCCTGCACAGGGTTACAGTGGCCTGAGGACTTGCCTTTCTCATTTACTGGCCTGTAGATGCCAGGAGCTCAGGGACTGCAGCTGGCTCGCTGCTGTATGGCCAACGCTGTTTCATAAATAGTAACCATTCCCTGCACATGTTCATAGAGGCCTGAGGCACAGCAGGGAGCAAAACAGACAAAATGCCTGCCCTCAGGGGAGTTTGCATTCCTACTGAGAAAGCGATAGAGAATGAATTGAAATAACTAAGCAAAAATGTGTAATATTTAAGATGGTGGTAAGTGACATGGAGAAACAAAACAGGGAAGGAGCATAAAGTGGGGGGCGGGCTGGTGGGGGGTTTGCAGTTTTAAATAGGATAGTCATGGAAGGTCTCTGTAAGGAGGTGACCTACTTGAGTGGTGGCGGTGGAGGAATGAGCCATGGTGGTGTCTGGGGATGGGCACCTCAGGTGGAGGGAAGCGCAGGTGCAAAGGCCCTGAGGTAGGAAACGTGCCTGGTATGTCTGAGGGATTGGGTGTGGCCGGAGCAGATGGAACGAAGAGGAGAGTGAGAGATAACTGGGGTCACAGGGACCATGAGGCGGGGCCAGATCATGGAGAGCTTTTTATGGTGAGGACTTTGGTTTTCACACTGAGTGAAACAGGAGCCATGGAGAGTTCTGAGCCAAAAGAGGGAGAGGATCTAACTTTGGTTTTAACAGGACCCCTCTAATTACTGAGTTGTAAGTAGAATGTCATGGGGCAAGCAGGAGGGAGTCTGACGTTAGGAGGCGCCTTCACGAAGCCAGGTAAGGCATAGCAGAGGCTGGGCTCACACTGGTGGCAGCGAGGCAGTGGCAGAGGAGGATGTACTTGAGGTCAGATCTGGAGGCTCACCAGGTGGCATGAGAGAGAGAAAGGAGTCAAGGTTGACTTCAAGTCTGGGAGGCTGACCTGGAGGCAGTCTCCAGCTCTGGCCCAAGAACCAGCAGACTTGGGTTTAAGTCTCTGTCACCCACTTGCTTGGTGACCTTGGGCAAATCCCTCCCCCTCTCCTGTAAAATGTGGTTGCCCTTGTCCTGGCCCCTTCCTCAAGACACCCATGCACTTTGTTTGGTTTTTTGTTCGTTTGTTTGTTTTGGGCTGCACGGCGTGGCTTGCGGTATCTTAGTTCCCTGACCAGGGATGGAACCCGGGCCCCCTGCAATGGAAGCACAGAGTCCTAGCCACCGGACCACCAGGGAAGTCCCAAGACCCCATGCACGTTGAAGGGGACCGTGCCTCACAGCACTGCCCCCTCCCGTCCGCAGGGAGCCAGCAGCCACCATGGCGTCACGCATCGGGCTCCGCATGCAGCTCATGCGGGAGCAGGCGCAGCAGGAGGAGCAGCGGGAGCGCATGCAGCAGCAGGCCGTCATGCATTACATGCAGCAGCAGCAGCAGCAGCAGCTGGGGGCGCCGCCCACCCCCGCCATCAACACACCCGTCCACTTCCAGTCTCCGCCACCCGTGCCCGGGGAGGTGCTGAAGGTAAGGCCTGCTCCACCCCGTCCCTTCGCCCCGGTCCTCGGAGCCCCCGCCCTGAGCCCTTTACCTCCTCCCCGCTCCAGGTGCAGTCCTACCTGGAGAACCCCACCTCCTACCACCTGCAGCAGTCCCGGGACCAGAAGGTGCGGGAGTACCTGTCTGAGACCTACGGGAACAAGTTTGCTGCCCACATCAGCCCTGCTCAGGGCTCCCCAAAGCCCCTGCCAGCTGCCTCCCCAGGCGTGCGGGCCGGACACGTGCTGTCGTCCTCAGCCGGCAACAGTGCTCCCAACAGCCCCATGGCCATGCTGCACATCGGCTCCAACCCTGAGCGGGAGGTGAGTGAGGAGCTGGCCGGTGCCTGCCACCAGCAGAGCTGGGGCCATGTGCTGTGCTCCTGGGACTCCTAGTCTAATGGCAGAGGCAAGATACTGCCCTCAGGGAGCCCCAGGTCTGAGGGGAGACACGGCCCCGACCTCGGGAAGCCCCTGTCTGAGGGGAGACGCGGCCCCGCCCTCAGGGAGCCCCAGTCTCCCAGAGAAACACCCCTACTTTGGAAACCTCTGCTAGGGAGAAACAGGAGACTCATACAGGAAT